TCCAGTGGTGCCATGGTTCACCAGGAGTTGTTTATATGCTGTTACAGGCCTACAAGGTAGGAATCGTTCATATCCAGACCAACCTTGAGTTTACCAATTTCAGCACCTATCAATTGTTGGGCAACAGGGGAAATTGACTACAACATGGAGTTCCATAGTAGGGATTTAGACAGCATTTACATGCCTAAATACGGGTGAATTTATCATCTAGGATACACAGTATGTCAATTTGTTACCAGCCATGTTGTCATTTGATATGCAAAGGAAATGTCAAATTTCCCTATTCAGCCAATGCTCTCTTTCCTGGTGGAAAACATTGATAGGTCTAGTATGAAGAAAGGCTGTATTTATATAGCTCATTGATTAGTTGTTCACAGAAATATCATTGTCAGACATTGTCTGTGATTTTACATTGCTTTTCCTGGAGATTTGCTGAAATTAGGTAGTTAAATTAGGTAGTGATTATGTACACATAGTATTCTAGTATTCTATATTATCTAGTATTGTCTTAATATGTGCAGTATAAATACTATCATGGAAGTAACATCATACCATGTGTGCTCATTTGGTAATATAAGAGTCATTTTGGTTCAGTATTTCCTTTATTAACACAAAAGATGAAAAAAAAAAGAAAAAAATACCTTTAAAAGGGATGCAAATGCATTTGTATCTTCATGACAGACCTAAATATCTCTTCTCTAAACATTGTTAAAACCACTTTACAAGCAAGATAAAACAATGTTTTTTTTTGTTCCATTTTCTATGTACTATTATCTTCTTACTCCATCTATGAGAATGATTCTACAGTAAGATATGTAAAGGATGAAAAAAATACTAAACCAGAGACTATGCAGGATAGTCATGTGGGTAATTACTGTGTCTTTGTCTTGATTTCACATCCAGACTTTCAGTGATGACAAATATTTGGAGCATGCCAAAAGTTGTACAGATATAATATGGAAAAGAGGTTTATTAAAGAAGGGTTATGGTCTATGTCATGGCACTGCTGGCAATGCCTATGCTTTCCTGGCTCTCTATAGAGTTACTGGCGATAACACATATCTGTACAAAGCTTATAAAGTAAGTGATAACCAGAATTTAACTAGAAACTATGTGTGATAAGAAATTAATAATATTCATTAGGTTTCACAGCAAGTCTCAGAGGCATTGGAGCAGTAAGTTGGCAAACTGAATCATGAATTGGTTGACAATTTGTGTTTTGACTCTAAAAAGTTGTTTTTCAGATTTGCTTGCACCATCTAGTGCTGTAAAATCTGTAATAGAAACCGCTGCTTCTGTTAAAATGGTACAATGCAATAGAGGGGATGTGGCTTCTATTAGAGTACTTAAACGTATGAGAAATGATGAATTTTTGGTTCTCAATTATTCAAAAAGAATGGGTGCGACTTCTATTCGGGATGTGGCTTCTAATAGAGATTTAACGGTAGTCACACTCGTCCCAGATGAATCTATATTGCAGTAGGAGACAGACTGTATTTTCGCATTACAAAATTAAAAAGGAGATTTCATTTTAATACAACCATATCTATATATGCTCTTTAATCCTTATCCTGCTAGTCCCAATGTTCTTTTACATTGACTTGAACCAGATTTAAGTTTAAGTTAATGATGGTAAGTTTTGGGTGGTCCAACTGCCAGCGTTGAAAGTCAGCATAGGTGGATTTTTCAATGAAAATTTAAGTCCCCACAAAATATTTGATGATCGTTTTTTGAAATTTTGAACTCCAAATAAGGGCCACCAGCTGCGAAATCGCCCAGGGTGATTTTTCAGATGGGCGAATTTACGGCAGAATCCGGTACTTCTGAGACTGTAATCATCAACAACAAACCAGGACGCATTTCTGTCATGTATACAGCATTGACGCAGCTACTGAGATGGGTGTGTGTAAAAGCTGAAAGTAGATTTCATTGAGAGTGTTTAATAATTA